GAATGTTACCAGATGTTACACTGGCTCTAGCTATGAAGAATTCTGTGGAAACTTTACGATTATTTTCTGCTGGTTCCACAAAGCATGGAAATCGAGAATAAGCGTTTTTTGTGTTGTCTCGTCCCTTATTGTAGCGTAACACAGACCACCCACATGGTCGATTGGTATTCTTGATTTCTACGATGTAGTCATTCTCGGGTGCACCTTTACGTGTTCTTAGATTCGGTTTTCACCACTTCATTTCAAAAGGCTTGGTAGACGACCGGTTAGTACATTTATGATAATACATAAATATATTAACCGGTCGTCTACCTAGTCTTCTGAACTGATGACTTCCCGATCGATTCCAAATATGTTCCAAAATGTCTGTTTTCACCACCCTTGCCGTTTCCATTTTTGCTTACGATGCCTGCATAATTCATCTATTGTTTTGCGTGTTTTGATGCTTTCACACTGCTGCTCCACTTCTCGTGTCCTCTGATCGTTGGTACGTCTCCGGAAAATTCGATGCACAGCAGCCCTGGCGTCTTTTTGCACTTGTGGTATTGCTTTTCTTTTCCTGATCCCATGTGCGATGTTCCATGTGTTTAAAAAGTGCGCCGGGTTCGGGGACATACCTGAATGTTGTCGCACTTCCTTGTAAGTAAATAAATAAATACTTCGATTCTCGATAGGCTCGAGAGGAATGATCAGAAATGATGAAGGGTCAGCTACCCCGCAAGTATAGTTAGTAAAAATGTAAAATTGTTGTACAGGTCCGTGGAAGTAGTTAGAAATAACTACTTTGCGCAGATGCATTGTCGTAATGTACACACTGGCTGGATCACCACGTTCTTTTCTCGCACGCCTATCTCGTGTAGGGTGGATGCCCTGTCTTGGAACTTCGCCTGAATGGGGGATTCCTTGTGCATTGTGTTATAATTTTCTCACTTGCCGCGATTCCGAAACATACTCCACAAGACCTTTAGCTTAACCAAAGGAAAAATCAAAACGCAGAGGACCTTAACAAAAGAATGTGTTAACCGCCGCTAAAAACATTGTACAACCGAGGCAGATTTTGGTTGTATTTATGGATCACTTACTATCACTCGACTTATGGAATAGGAAGATCAACTGTCGAAATTAGTAGTTCCATACCGATACGGACATTCTTCAGATTGCCACTCTTGTGCAAACCTTAGAGCATTCCAGAAAGTTCGAAATCGATGCAATATTCGGTAATCGATTAATCGCTGAAATAATGCCCTTACTGAGGAATTCCTTTTTTTTCCTGGACAACTTGCCTGACTCGATAGAAGTGTATCGTGGTGTTTTACCATGTTTGATATCATGGTCGCGGATATTCCTGTGTTCATAAACGATTTCGTTTAAGCGTTCAACGGCGTCTACAGGGATTTTGAGTGGTCACGTTAGAACATACTTCATTTTAATGTGACCGAAATTTGTTCACTTAACGTCCACACATTCCAGCGTTTTATCAAATTCGTCACAACTGACCATATTATTTATTTGTGGCACTAATTGGATGCCAGTTTTGACCTTTGCCTCCAACAGCTGCACATTGTTACGATAACACAAGGCACGCCAACGTGGGTATTTACATTTTTTGCAGAAGAATATGTGGATGTCTATCTGATTTGGAACTGGCTGCGATGACAATGAAATTGTTGATGTATAATTTGATGTCTAAAAAGATTTTAGTATCTACCGAAGACTTCCATTGTGACAGCTAGAATTGCTTTTCTAGGCACTGAAATAACGACTAACATTTTCACCTGTAAATCTGATAAGGCTTTCACCTGTGTCAAAGCCTCATTAGGAAATTCAGCAACATTGACCTAACTACTGAATTTGAGACCGATTTAAACACGGAACTCCAGTTCACGTTTTTGGCTGCGCTCAGTACAAGCAATTCCTGTACACTTGGCGTTTAATTTACCTTTGTTGCGACATTACAACGTACTTCAGTTTGAAGGCTTTATTAACCTTGATCTACCCGATATCTTTATGTGAATGTGAACATTTTTTCACGTGAGCATCTCATAGCCTCAGTTCCAGTCCAGAACTACACATCATTTAAGGGACACGCTTTCATTGTGCGTAGATATAAGAGTGAACTGCTATAGAACGATACCGGTGAAATTTTCCAAGGAATTGAAAGTTGCGGCGCACCTCACAGCTACACGAACGGTCCGTCCGTGGGCATACTTTTCGTTTCAGTCAAACAACTCCATCTTATTCATCTGTCGCCTAATAGTACAATGAGAGACGTAATTTCGATTTAAATTTATACTCAGTCAAACCGGGGAAATTTGTCTACAAGTACAATTTTGTTAAAGTTTGCATGTGCGGAAATAACGCTAGCCTGCGAATGCAATAACGGCTCGTAGCCGAACGACGCAAAGACAACAGGACACGACTAGCTGGCAGCAAGCAAACGTATATTCTGGCCAGAATGGGCACAGAGCATCGATCAAGTAACTTAACTAAGCCACTTGTGAGTGGGTAATCCATAGACAGACAGACGCGCTCGGTCGATGCTGGTGTAGACACGGATTGCAGATGGTGACTCATACACCACAGCAATTTGCTGTGTGCGCGTTCTGTGAGCTCAATTATGTCTGTGGATTTTTTGCTGTGCGCAATTTTCGTGTGTGCTTTCATCTTGGAACCTCCTGCGAGTATCGGTTAGGCGCCCATCTTTTGCAGTGTCCTTCGCAAGAGAGTGACTTTTGATGATCTTAGGGGATTATCCGGGTTGCTCAAGACAGCCTGTCAAAGTATTTGTACACTTTAGTTCTATCACCTTTCCGCAATTGCTACATTCTCGTGTAAGTTCCCCTGTGAGATACACCATCCAGACCTGACATCCCCAGAAAGAGCACGACCTCGACACTTGTAACTCCACAACAAAGGGCAACTAGAGATGTTAGGAGCACTATCGTCGTCTGCTCTGTGATTTTTTAATGGTGTAACAGATATGCATCTATCATTTGTCGGAACTCCCTGAGCGGTCACCGCTTAAAGTCGACCACACGTGTGAATTCACAACTACTGTCTAGGGAAATCCTGACGGACAACCAGTGTCCTTTGCCGGGGCAATAGCCTACACCGCAGTGGAGGATGGGTCGGGTTGTATCGCAGTTAAATTGCAATCCATGATGATCGGCTATCGTGCACCATATGCTGCTGCCTAGTAGTGCAAGCCACTAGCGGCCATGGGTTCGGTTCCCTGAAGGGGACTGCGAGAATGCACACCAATAGCGAGCCCCAACATCGCAAGACGATCGCCTAGTACCTTTCCAGATTGGTAGTTAGACCTTCTGGCTTGTAGCCTAATTGCGATTAACTAAGTAAATCCGTCTCCTCGTAACGTTATCGTAAGTTTGAATGCCGCCGGAACTTCTCCCTTGTGATGTGCCTATCGTTGAATGCTGTACAAACCTCTATTATTTCCGTCCCTGCGTTACTCGAAGCAGCTCAATGATGGAATATGTTAACGCAAGTTTTGGGACACGGCATAAAGTAATCAAACTGTGTGCGCATGTGAACCTTACGGTAAGCCCACCGATGCGCGTTGTTTTTCGGCACGATCATCTTTTACACCTTTCGCTCGCTGAATCACTGAACAACCTCCCCGTGGTGCCATCTGGGTGGTAAGGGTTAACTTCGTACTAGCGATTGACTCGGCAGCGGTGGACATGGCCTGGCGAGCTTTCTCGCTATAAAAAGCCACATTTGTCCGTTCAACAACACTGCGACGTGACGTAGGTGATTCGCCACTAAATAAAGTCGTTGTCTCTAACTTGTTCGGATGACCTTCCTCAATCCATGGACGTCAGTTCTCCAAGCCGAAGAGTTCCTTTGAACCCTTCTTACGCCGATGATCTGGCTGAACACGACACCAAACGCAGCGTCACATTAACATATTCAAGCAGCAGTCCTACGTATATTCCCGCATATGGTTGGCGGCATCCGGTTTCGGATTTGCCTGTCTCTATGGCCAGCCACAGGACGCCTGCGCCTACAGAGGGACCATGGGTGACTTGCACTGCACCGCCCACAGCTCCAACCACACACCCCATATCCAGTGTAAACCCGAAGGAATAAGACCGGGAGGCATGTGGATGCGAGCCACGTTTCATCAACGCAGCCGGTTCACAGTCCTTCACAGACAAACACAGGCACGATGTATTTGGGAATCAAGTACACACAAGGCGGTGGCTGGAGCGTAGTCCGCTCCACACTGAGTGCATGGAACCACTCTTCGAGCCTAGCACGACCACAAGGACCATGCACCCCGTCCCCTCCAGCAGCGACCAACTGTCTCCTGGAGCCAGTGTGGACGAGGTAGTGGGTAATAGACAGGCAGACGTGCACATCGAGCGCAGCCACACCGGGGATGTCAAACAACAGCCAATCACTTGAAATAACAGTAACAAATAAAATATATCTGTTAAAGAATACGGTTATGCAGACATAACTCTTCCCTAAATTAGCATATGATGAATACTGGTTAGCAGCGAATCCGCGATAAGTAAAAATGTCCAGAAGTGACTCAGAAAATGCTACAAACGCAATAAGGTTAACGAAGATAAGCGCAATTAGTGTAAGCAATGTGGCCAGTTCATAAAAGATTATTCAGGTAGGCAGAACAAAGTAAATAAAGTGGGATGAAATTTATCCAGCTTAAAAAGATCTAGTGTATGTATACGTTGGTTTAGCCCAACTGCGATGAAGTATCAGAAATGCAACATCAGCCTCAGCATGGAGCATATATTCACGCATACATACATTCATATACACACGCACGTAGATCCAGTATGTTACTGGCAGTTTTATAACACTTTTGGACAATTATTCACCATTCCTGTTTATATTAACATGATCTTGCCTACGCAGGCGTGCCTCGCACTGTCGAGAAGAACAATTTATTTAGTATGCTGTTATCTAGCGTCGTCAGACTGTTCCTTTTCACTCATTCCCAATTTCTTATTTAGCCGATTGGAAGTTGAAAAATATTGTCGCTCTTTGCAGCGACAGTGCCCCTTGTACAACCATGTGCTCTACTTCGGATGGCCGTCCCACGTTGTGTCCGGCATTTCACCTGAGATGTAGAGGAGTGTCCGCCGGCGCTGGTCCACGCACTTACTACTTTGGAGGTTGTTTAGCACAACTTGAAAGAGCACTCGTTTCGTACACGCTTCGTCGTCTCTCGACCATCGGTTTCACTCTGATCTCTGTTCCGGACATCCTACCAGAACACGTGGTGGAAGCCTGTGGCTTCTCTACTCGAGGTGACCGTTCTCAGGTAGGTAGTGAGGCACTCCTTTCCACAGCTTCTATTCCTTCTCTGTTCTTACAAATGATTGAAAATTCTTTTTATAAGTGGTTAATCGCACTATCCTCTAGGTCTAAGAGTACATCATGTATCCAGAAAAACACTGAACTGTTGTTTCATGCTATTGGGACTCGTGAGCAGTGCGTATCCGTCGGCCGTTCCAGGAAGCGGACTCGCCACATCTCAACTTCACTAAGCTACGGATGATGATGGCGAATCGTCATGGATTGTAGGCTAACTGGGATATAGCGCGGCTCATCCTTCACTGTCATGCATGTTGCGTACTTTGCGTAGGAGAGGGGTCGCCTCTAGAACCACGGTTTCTGGCGTATGACCTAACATTTAGAAACTGTATGGGCGAATATTTCGATTGCTCGTGAGTGCAGGATTTTCGTTGCTATTTTATTGACGGCTCATCGCAGTAGCGTCCGAGTCATGTGGTCCATCGCACATCTGGGAAAACACCAGACGGCTGTTTCTCCCTATTGGGGCTTAACAGAACTACGAATCCCCCGGGTCCCTTACGAATCGAACTCATAATCTTTCGACTCAAGCCAAATCAAGAATGCGCTTTTACGCGCCTTTTATGGGTAACTTTTCGACTGTAACACATGTCATCAACGTGACAAAATTGTGTGATGCAATAGGAACAAAACAGCAACAACAGAAAGAGCTCTGTGAACAACAACCTCACTAATGCAATTCAATCTTTAGTTCTTGGATAATGGCGTTATGGTCAAGTAACAGTCTGGTTAGCTAGGGAATGGCCGACGAACTATGATGTACTGTCGTCCGGTCGATGAAGTATATACACAAATGGACAGTGCATTGTGCAGAAGTGGGCTAATCTCGGTGAGTATTTTCAGAGCAATTTTTGTGCGGAAATTAGCATGGGTAGTAACAATTGTTTGAGCCAAAGTTGGTTTCGGAATACCACTGCAGTGAGACATATGTTTGAGCGATTGGTCAAGCGGCTTAAAATACCTAGACATATACCTTTAACAAATCTCAATAGAGCAATAAGCTCATTGTGGCATAATACACGAAATATTACTCCAAAATACAGAAGCGCGAGACAATGCGACCGTTAGGCAGATTGTCTGTTAGCGGAGGGTTTTGCAATGCCACAGTAACTGAAATTATAGCCCTAGCGAGTGCGCCAGTGAACTTATGAGCACCGGTTGTCTCATGGTTTTTCCTCCGAAATACTGACGCACGTCACGATAACCGTTTAATTTTTCCGTAGCGGTTTTTTCTGCAGCACCCCCCCACGGACTTAGCCTTCGTCAACTTATACCTACGCCGGCACATAGTTTAAAGGTAACGAGCCTGTCTTTCAATCTGACGGCGCGGGCTCGAGCCTGCGTAGAGGCACGGTGACCCTCGCAGTATCCTTAGCCCACGTGCAACCGGTGGTGGTTGCGCGGCAACGAAGCGTCGGCACTGGGTACCGGTGTACGGGTGGTGCCTATGTACCATACCTGACGAAGAGCAAACCGAAAACACTTATCAGTTTAAAGTGTATCACATTCATTCCTTCTCAAGATTGACGATAAATGGGCATTTTACATAGAATTAAATATTCTGGATGATTCGCGGGGTTTTTACATGTAGAGTAGTCCAGAATGTTTTGAGCAGTAGAGTTAGCCACAATTTGGGACTATTTATGACTATGTTACTTGGAATGTGATATATTCGAACTCAGGGCATCCTGTTAAATGTTGTTCTATTTCACTATCTTGAGATTTGTAAAGAAAAATCCCGCATGAAATCTCTTGGTTGTGTTCCTTGTTCATGTGCCGCAGGGTTACACTGTTATTTCTACAATTTAACAATAGGTGACACTTAGGATGGCTCTTGTCACATTTCTAACGTCCAGCACTTCCTCCGCGTGATTCAACAAGTATGTTCCGTTATCTGTCCATCTTAGGTGTACAAACTATGCAGCGAGCAACCAAGTTCCCAACATTGTCTCTCCGGTACGTCGGAAATGGCATTGGCTGGATTTTGTGCAGACCGAACACTGGATTCCGGCAGCTCAAGCGACCCTGACGCTCTCGGACTGTGTGCGGTCAGTCGATGCTTCCGACAAGAGGCTCCTCGGCAAGAAGCACTTCTCTATCGCGTCCACCAGTTTACCAAAGTGAGTTGAGGTTGCGATTTCGGAGACCCTTGGCTCTCCTTGCCAAGATCGGCAACTGCTCTAAAGCGAGTGGTTCCAACTCTCACTCCAACGATCCCGACTAGGTCTACTGCCAATCTCCTGGCTTCAGGTCTCTTACTTCTAGAGCCAAACGATTGATCAGTCGCTAACCTCACTCCTCTGAACGCAGTAGGCCTTACGTAAGCCACTACACACACTTTCGAACTATGTCCCTTGTCCATCCTTCATCGTCTTTACTTTGCTTGATTTTGTGAATTGTCGCTTTTATTTACACAAACGCACTGCTCTTTGGTAACCGTGTCCCATTTAGGTCGAAATGTTTGCCGTCACGAAACCAGAACTGGCTGTCGGCGATGCGATGTTTGACAAGATTTTGAACCTCCAAATCAGCTTGTTCGCCGATTTGGGACTGCATTTCAAGTACGTGTGGTTTACTTGCAGGTATCGGACTTCATTGGTTTTTCTATCAATATCGCTTTCATAACTGTTTTATTCGTTGGTGCTGTTCTGAAGTGAACCGCAACGAAGTGGGTCTCGCAATAAATGATTCGGTGGTTGTAGCCTGTCATCGCTTATATGGTGTCCCCTATGTCAACACCCTACTTCGGCCTGGTCAACCGGGTAGTATCGCGCTCGCCTCTAAGACTGTGGATCACATCACTGTTTCGTATTCTCTCGCTCCTGCCTCCTTTGCTTCTCATCAAACTTCATCACACGCCCACCATTCTTCTGTTAATAATTCCTGTTTCCTTCGATTTGACCCCGCTACCGATTTCACTGCTTCCAATGATGTCCTGCCTAAGGCTATTCTTTGACACCGATCTTCGTTCCGACTGGAAAGCCTCAGTGTTCAGATGATTATGCAGATTGGGCAACAGGCCGGTCTTGAACGTACTCTGAGTTTCCTCGCCATTTATATCTGCTGTCTTTCCGAAACGCAATTGCAAGACGCAATTACTGCTCACGTTGAAATCTCCGTGCGACCAGGAAGCCACATACCACACGCTTATGTGATGACGTAGAGACTGCCTCTGCTTGCTTGACCGGTGTTGGCATGACAAAGCCGAGGCTGCGCTCTTTGATGGGTCCCAGTTGACAACCGACTATGTGCAGTTCGTCTGCAAGGCTCTTGCAGGATTAACAGACATCACAGTAAAAGGTGAAATATGTTTACTTTCTACTTACATGCCAACTGATTTGCTCTGAACTGAACAAGGACATGTTTACTGCCGGCTTCATCAGCTATTACGCAAAGCCGCCAAATCGGACGTCATTATCCTCGCCGGAGACTTCAACACACGTGTTGGTCGGCTGTTACCAGGTTAATATCACCTGTGTGGTCATCATGCACTGAACGAGAATCGTTCAGATAACGGAACCAGGCTTCTTACAAGCACAAACTTCAGTCACTCGAGGAAACGCCCTGCCACCTGGCGTCTTCCTTCATCGTCGCAGACCTAGTCTCAGCTAGATCACATTACAATCAGATCACGCACTAGTCTGTGCGAACATTTGCATGTGGTTCGGAGGAAATCAGAAACAGAGGTTTCGTAAGCTTAGAACGAACAGGTTAGCTGGTCAGTCGGCTCAGCTAGACTATCAACTGTCGCTGGCGAGCACACTAGCCTGCATCCCGCCCACTGATGTTGAACACCACTGGAAGTTCTTGCAGCAAGCAATGCTAACTTCAGGCCAGTCTGCGGGTTATCTCATCACCCGTTGAAGGGTTGGATATCGGCACGCTCCCTGGCACTGTTGTTTCGCCGAAACAATACCAGAACGAAGTTCGTCGCATTATCAGCAGATAACACAAACGAAGCCTTCGCACCGATCGGGAAGTTTGATGGTCACAACGCGCCTTAGAGATGGAGGCCGCCGCCCTCACTGGCGACACCCGTAAGCTATATCAGCTCGTTCGGGCCACTGGAGACAGGTCTGCTATCAGCGAGGTCATCTGTGAGGCGGACGGGCCACAAATCACTAGTTTACAAAGATGCATGGCAGATGGGCAAAGCATTTTCACTCAGTTCAGTTGTTCATCTCCATCTCTCTTTACACTCAGTATACCCAGTCGCATACCATGGTTAGTGCCACTCGAACTATCAACCGAAGCGAAGGTTTGAGATTCGTTACTTGAAACGCTTCAAGGCGGCCGGCTCAGATGAACTCCCCCCAGAGTTCAAAACTAAATTTAGGGAACACGTTGTGTGGTTGGGTTGCGACTTGCAACCTCTGTAGAGACCTCGGTTCACTTTGAGGTAAACCTCGGTCACTCCGATCTCAAGGACCGTATCTGGAATGGAAATATTTAGGTGTTGCTCTTCCCAACACTGGCACACCACGACCGCGGTTTCGTCCTGGTTTGGACTCCTCAGGTGGAGATAGCCTTAGTTGGGGTGGAACTCAGAGCCTAGTAGTTCACAGCTGACACCCTGAACACCTTGCTAATAAGATCCGCGAGCAATGCATGGTATAGCGGAAAGCAATTCGAAGTTGAATTTAAGGAACATGCTGTGTGGCTACTAGGCACTGAGTTCCATCCAGCTCAGGCTATCTCCACCTGACGAGTCCAAAGCAGGACGAAACCGCGGTCGTGGCGTGCCAGTGTTGGGAAGAGCAACACACAAATATTTCCATTCCACATACGGTCCTCGAGATCGGAATGACCGAGGCATACCTCAGTGCTCCGAGGTCTCTATAGAGGTTGCGAGTCGCAGTCCAACTACACAGCTTGTTCCCTAAATTCAGCTTTGAATTGCTTTCCGCTGTGCCAAGCGTTGCTCGCAGATCTCATTAGCATAGTGTTCAGGGCGTCAGCCGTGGATACTACTGTACAAATTGATTTGTGCCGCTACAGGCACAGTTTCGCGCATCAGGAGAAATATACGTATTCTTATTATTTTTATTATTATTATTATTAATATGTATAGTGCTGACGTTTCGGCCGAACACTTGCAATCCAAAACAGTCGGGTTATCCTCGGAATACATGTTCATGATTTGATCCAATAAGCAATTTTCTAGGAATCTATTTTCACAATTTTCCCATCATTCACGGCAGTCATCAACTTTCCAATCACTCTTGGATGAATGTGAATATGCATTTAGTGTTCCTACCACTTTTCAGAGTTCTCGAGATGCCAACTACCGAGTTGGGCAATTCCGCGTACCGGAAAGTCGACATCGAGGCATGGATGCCTGGAGAGAGCGCATATGGAGAGGTAAGTATATATACATATACATTCCAACTTGCTATGGCGATAACCTGTCTATGGCGACTAGCCAAAAAGATCTCCAACATTTCCTTCTATGAGTAATGTCCCTATCCATAGACCTGTCTGTGGCAACCACTTGTCCAAGACGACCATTTTTTGTCGGTCCCTTGAATTGTCGCCTTAGACAGGTTTAACTGTATATGCATATATGGAAGAAAGGCATCAGCAGTACACCGGTACGCAACACCGACGCTCCGCGGCCGTGAAATCACCACAGGTCGCAGGTGAACTAAGTATACTGAAAGGGTCGCTCTGCCTTTATATATAAATACACGGTTCGCTGAGGCTGGTGCTGGCTGAATCCTGACAGATGGTCTACCCACTGCTGCTACTGTTGTGTCATTGGCTCATGTCCTGCACGCCTCCTGGTGGCGACCGCCGGGTGGGAGTTGGGTTACCCCCTTCTCCCTGCTAACACCCATGACACCAATCCGCATGAGTCAGCTAACTGACCATGTGCTAGACCCGCTGCCTTTCGGGTGTACATCTAATCGAAGGCTTTGGCGGAGGATCCGAGTCATTTTCCTGTCAGGTGTCCACGCCCTGCCAGTATCCTAGTCCATCCTCCTCGGAGGTTAGGAAGTGGTCGATGGCCCTCTTCCCGTTAAACCTAGTCATGGGAGACAATAGGTCTACGGATTATAAGCTCACAGCTCGATTGGCGTAGAGCACGAGCGCCACGCATTGTCTCTGGCGGCGGGAGGGCACTTCCATGTGTTCAGTGGTTTGCTACTGCCCGCCTCAAGCCAGGCATCCCTTGGTCAAATTGGTGCAAACCCGCCAAAACCCACCTGCGCCTGGCCGTGGTCGTAGGTGCGTATCCAATTACGGTCGCAAAACATATATGAATCGTTCGAGTACCTCAAATGCTGCGTGTGACGACCGTCAAACAGATCCCAATCTGTCTCTGCAATCACATTCCCGAGCTGGATCTGCTCCCCACTGCCTTATGGGTCAGGCTATTGAGCCAAAGGCTCCGGGCGGAGTCCCTCAAGCAAACCTCCAAATCACCCACTGCCTTGTGGGTAAGGCTATTGAGCCAAAGGCTTCAGGTGGAGTCCCTCAAGCAAACCTCCGAAGCACAACCGCCACGTCGCGTGCGATTGCCCACCAATGCAATCGTATGCCTGCGCGCAAAGCACTCAGCATCGGGTGTTGGAACGTGCGGAGACTACTGGACCGAAACTCCAGTGAGCGCCCAGAGCGACGCACTGCACTGGTCGCGATGGAACTGGCGCGCTACCACATCGATATTGCGGCGCTCAGTGAAACCCGGCTCGCTGAGCAAGGTAAGTTGCATGAAGCAGGTGCTGGTTACACATTCTACTGGGTGGGCAACGACGCCTCGGCACCACGTGATCATGGGGTCGGATTTGCAGTATCCGATCGCCTCCATGGCCAGCTGGTGGGTGAACCAACAGGCATCAGCGCGCGACTGATGACTGTTCGCCTACGACTCGGAAGAGGTAAGTTTGTCACCTTTATAAGCACGTACGGTCTGACCATGTGTTATCCTGATGACACGCGTGATCAATTCTACACTCAGCTATCCTCCGTGATACGGTCTGTGCCGAGGAGCGACCGACTATTTCTGCTGGGTGATTTCAACGCGCGCGTTGGGCGTGATGCATCGGTGTGGGCAGATGTTATCGGTTCGCATGGCATTGGTTCAGCGAATGCGAACGGTGACAGGCTGCTCTCACTGTGTGCCACTCACGGCCTGACGATCACGAACACTCGGTTTGCACTGAGTGCGAGTGATATAGCAACTTGGACGCACCCACGGAGTGGTCACGCTCACCTGCTCGACTATGTCATCGTACGTCAGCGTGATATGCGTGAAGTGCGCATGACACGTGTACTGCGTGGAGCTGAGTGTGGCACTGATCACAAATTGGTGCGGACCAAACTGTACATATATTTTCGTAAATCTATGTATTGCACTCCCGCCGTGAATCGGCGTAAATTTAACATTCTCTCCCTCGGTACTGTGGCGAAACGTACTGAGCTGGAGAAGGCGATGGCTGCACGCCTGTGTGATGTGGAATGCATAGCCACAGTGGGCGACCTGTGGCACCACATTCGCGACCAGGTGACAGCTGCTGCCGAGGAGACCATCGGGCGCGCAAACTGTAAGCGGCCTGATTGGTTTGATGAGAACAATGCGACGATTGGCGCATTGGTGTCGGAGAAGAATGCAGCATTTGCTGCACATTTGGCAGACCCCAGTGACTTGGGGAAGAAGAGTCAGTTTCGCAAACTTCGACGGCGACTGACCCGAGAGCTCCGTCGCATTAAAAATGCATGGTGGACGGAGAAGGCGAAGCAGATGGAATGCTACGCCGAACGCCGCCAACACAAGGAATTCTTTGACTCCTTGAAGGCGGTGTATGGACCGAGATTGGAGCCGCTGAGGACGCTGATCGATGGTAGTTCAGGCGCTACCTGCACCCAGACTGCAGCCATAATGCAGATCTGGCGGAAATACTTTGACTGTCTCTTGAACAACCGTTCAGAGATCGACTGGCCTACATTGAACGGCCTTAAGCAGTACGATGTGAAGGCGAGTCTGGCAGACACTCTTAACCTGGATGAGACGCAGAGAGCACTTGCTCAGCTACGAAACGGCAAATGTGCCGGTGCCGACGGGATCCCGCCTGAAGTATTGAAACACGGCGGACCCGAGTTGATGACTGCGCTGCACCACTTGGTGCAACGCGTATGGATTGAGGAAGAGGTGCCTCCTGAGCTGTAGGATGCCATTGTGCTACCACTGTACAAGGGCAAAGGGAGCAAGCAATGTTGCACGAACGTGGAACCACGCTACCTGTGGCGGACGTGTTTACTGTGCTCCGGCAGTTTTGTGTAATTTCTTCTTGCCAAGTCAACGGAATTTGGATTATTATACACTGTTTTGCTGGAAACTGTGCACTGAATTTACTGAAACAAGAATTTTGGACAAATTCACAACTGTTTTTACAAAAACTGTGACAAACGTTTTCACTTGTCCAACATGTACCGTGAGTCTGACTAAAGTGGTTTTTCCGTAGGGTTTGGGCCACGTTTTTCTTACATTTTATATCCATCTTATGTAGTTTTTTATGCTCTTTCTTTTAAGTCATCTTACGCTCATGAATTTCGTAGGATTAGCCTACATTTGTTTTTTATATGTCATATTCCGGCTGAGCCTCCTACTGCAATGTCTTTTTATAAGGATTTTCTCTAAGGGAATTTTATACCTTCAACATGCGTACATACAATTATTTTGCTGTTATTGTATACTATATACATTGCTTGTGCTTTTTACAAAGTCTTTTTTATGCATGTTGGTTTGTATTCCTAGAAAACTCCAAACTTTTAGCTTCCTCTTGATGAGCCTCCTTTTGATGAACCGACGTTTGATATTGATCGCCCCCAATAGCTTCTCGTCAGTTTAGGCTAAGTTTTGATCAACACTCTACAAAGATTTTGCCGGCCTATCTGACCTATAGTGTTATTGATTGATGCCACATTGACCCCGCATGCCTGGTTTTCATCTTAATTGGGCGAAGTTTCGCCAACGCTTTACGATCGTCATGGGTCTCACGTTGTTAGAGGGGCTTTTATTTTTTGATGTTTTACAGATGTTGCTGATAAATTGTGATTGAAGTAGGGGTATTTTTCTGGGCTTTCAAGTGTTGTCCACCTACCTTGGTATTTTTCGGGAGTATTCTGGCAATCGCTATTTTTTATTTGTCAGTTTTTGTCGTTTTACGCATGCTGCGAACAATATTTGACCTGACCGACTAGCTAGAGAATTTTTATGCTCGTGTTTAGATCTCAATCATATTTTACTTGGGGTAATTCGTGCATTCTATAAATTCTTCCATTATCCTTCTCGCCTACACCATTTCCCTTCCCTATTCTGCTTTAGCTTTTATTCCTATTTTTCACTTATTGTGGCCTGAGCCCTATGGATAGTCTCTTTTAGTCGACCGCGGATTCATGCACCGTGCACATATTCACTCACACATCTCAAATATGAATTCCTCATCACTGCACATCGACGGAGTAACAAACAACATTCCACAACCAACAATGACAACCTCCGCCATACTTTCGACTCCTCACACTGTGTTGCAAAATTACACCTGTAATATCTGTCACGCTCTTTTCTCGACGGCTGCTGGTCTTACTCGGCATACCGGATACCACAAACGACATCCCAACGATCTACGTATGCGCGGTGCTCCGGTGATGTCATGCCAACAATGCAATCGTCAATTCGCCTCAGCAAGAGCGCTTACCACTCACTGCCGCCAGGCACACCCCACTATTTACCAAGACATGCTGTCATCCCGAGCGGCCATATCCTCAGTACACTGGTCTGCGGAGGAAGATGCTCAGTTATTACTGCACGCAGCTCATTTAGGCGAATCTGTATCTTCACTAGCGCAGCTTCTGCCACTCCCCTTCCGAACGATGACAACAATAAGGAAACGACTCCAATTTCTAAAAAGGAAACGCCCTCCAGGCCGCCGCCTTCATCGCCACCAATCTCAACAGTCGTTAACACCCACGACGGGTGCAACAGATAATATTACTGAGGACACAATCAGTAACCACAGTCCGGAGCAAAACACACCGAGCTTTCCTGTGATATCCCTAGCATCCAAAGAGACCGCGTCACCCACTCCAGAGAATCGATCACATCGCCCGTCTGCTCCTGTTGCGCCTTCCACCGGCTCAGCATCCTCTCGTACCTCATCCAGCTTATCATCTGCCTCTGACAGCAACGAAGAATTGGAAGTACTTTATAGTTTGAAATATTTTACTCGTCGTCAGCCGGCTATTTCGCACCTCCGCTGTCGTCCCGGATCGCCCAACAACCCTTTTATCACCAACTCCCCAGATTTAACCCCTCCAATGACCCGAATGCCATTTTATACAAGCCCAACTCGATGCAC